TGCTCTCAGGCTTATTCCAAAGCAAGGAAAGGCTTGCATCAGTTGAAGTGAAGACCGTCACGCTTAGTAAGCCGCTCTCCACTCGCTAAAATCAAACACTTCCCAAAGATGTGCTGTCAAACTTTACTTTCTCTCCTGTCTTTTTCCCCCCTGCCACTGTCTTCCCAGCACAGATACCCAACACTTCAAACTGTTCCTGTCAAATATTTAATGCATTATTAGCAGTGTCAAGAATCATATTTTACTAGAAGCTTGAACCACCTGTAGAGGGTAATCGAATATTAATCCTGAATGTATTACAGACGAGAAAGTCTTGATATGGAAAATCAGCGGCAAATAAGATAAATAATTTTAACTTTTTTAAAGCACTAACTTTGGTTGTGTCCTTTTTAAAAAGTATTTATCAGTTACCTTATTTGAAAAGACAATCTTGTGTTATAAGGAACACATACAGTAATACCTGTTTACATGGACAGTTCTCCATGAGCTCATCTGCTTTTTTTGTTTTATTGCAATCTTTCAGCTACTAACATTTATCCTCAGAATAATTTCCTTTCGTTCAGAGATGTAAATACGAATTTAAAAGCACAAGTTGCACAATGTTGTGTTTATTTTGGATACGAAACAGCATTCAACGCTACAATAGAAAATTGATTTCATCTGATTGTTGGTATTTTATATGAGAGATTAGGTCTGAGTATAACTGTGAGTTGACAAGAAAAATATATGTTGTTTATATATATATATATATTACAAAAAGACATGGAAAATAAGTGGTGAGCCTTATTCTCCCACTGTAGAACAACCTTACAGTGTGTTTGCGTGCAACCCCACATAGGATCCCTCAACACCCCCACCAACCACATCAACCCTGACCTCTGTACGTTTATCTGTGATTGCAACAATACTAAACATGTTCACAAAGAATATTCTACATAAAAAATCTATAAAGCTACGCCCCCCCCAAAAGAAAACCAGAAGAAAGTGCGCATTCAGCTCGGCAAAGAACTCATGCTCTTCCTCAACACTGAAGTCCTCAGACATTTTTCTTTCGTTGTTTCTTTCT